GCGCTGATGGCTTCGACCGAGACGGCTAGGTATAGAAACAAGGTTTCCCCGTCAACTGGTCGTGATAACACGGGAGAATACGAGATACTTTTCTTAAGATGGAGCAGCGCCTACTCGCATTCCTCGGTCCATTCGAAGGCCGCTTCCTTGCGAAGAAGCTTGAAGAAAGGGAGGGCATATTGAGTGGATTTTGCAACGAAACGGGATAGTGAGGTGAGCATGCCATTCAAGACTTGTATGGATTTTTTTGACATATGTGTGGGGAGGTCGGAGAAATCCTGACACTTGTCGGGATTGGCTTCGATTCCTCGTTCTGTTAAGTAGAAGCCGAGGAACTTGCCCGCCTTGACCCTGAACGTGCACTTCTCGGGGTTAAACCTCATTTTGCATTGCCTTGCTTGGGCAAAGACTTCCCTGAGATGAGCGGCATGGTCGGTGTCTGCTCGGGACTTGACGATCATGTCGTCCATGTATACCTCGAGCATATCCCCGATTTGGTTGTGGAAGACTTTGTTCATCATCCGCTGGCACGTTGCTCCTGCGTTTTTCAGACCGAAGGGAATTACGTTGTAGGAATAGTTGCCCGAGATAGTCATGAAAGCGGTGCAGTGTTTGTCGCCTATTGCCATTGGGATTTGGTTGTAGCCCGAATAGGCGTCCATAAATGATATAATTTTATAGTCGGCCGAGTTATCGACCAGCATATCAATATTAGGTAAAGGAAATGCATCTTTGGGGCATGCCCGGTTAAGATCGGTGTAGTCAACGCACATTCGCCATTTTCCATTATTTTTCTTGACAAGTACAACATTTGACAGCCAGGTTAAATATCGGGCTTCAGAAATAAAATTTTCCTCTAAGAGGTCTTTTACAACTTTTTTAGCAGCCTCCGCTTTCTCCGGAGACTGCCTACGTATATGTTGTACTATTGCCCTAGCGGCTGGATCAATGGCGAGTTGATGACAAGCGACCTCAGGGTCGAGACCGGGCATCTCTGTAGTGCTCCATGCGAACAGATTCACATTCTCCCTCAAGCAATCCTTGATCTGCTTCCTCGCCAAGTTGGGGAGTCCAGTGCCAATCTTCACTCCTCTGCTTAGGTCTTCACCGAGGGGGACGAGCTCAAAGTCCCCGTCCGGAATTGGTCGGAGGGGGACTTGCTCGCCGCTGGGAGGCTCGTCCTGGTTGAAGTGAGTGTCTAGGGATATCGAGTCGACCTTTGGAGGGGCTCTCTGTTCTTCTGCTCTGACAGGCTCTGACCGCTGAGGTTCTGGTCGTGTAGTTACAGCTTTCTTGGCGGGTCGTGTGCTGGTGTCGACCGTGTTGTGTCCCTTGGACTCCGCGTTGAAACACCTTCGGGCAGTTGCCAGGTCACCTTGAATAGTGGCAACCCGGGCCCTCTTGGTGTAGAAATTCATTTTTAAATGGACAGTGGAGGGCACCGCGGTCAGCTCTACTAGTGTCGGCCTTCTCAGAATGCAGTTGTAGAGGGACAGGCAATCAATGACGAGGAAGCGCACCTTGACTTGCCTAGTTGCAGTATCCTCGCCGAACGTGACTATGAGCTTGACGTATCCCCAAGGCTTGGAGGTCGAGCCGTTAAAGCCCTGCAGGTCCGACCCCATGTATGGTGAAAGGTGAGAGTCGTCGAGTTGCAGGGTTCGTAACAGCTGGTTGTACATCACATTGACGGAACTTCCCTCGTCGACGAGGACGCGATGTACATTGAAGTTGGCCATTCTCGCCCTTATCAGCAGAGGGATGGCCGAATTGGGGACCTCTCCGGGGATCTCCTCGAGGTAGAAGGTGATTGGCTCTGATCTGCCTTTCACCCTTTCAAAGGTCACCGTTTGAGGGGGAGCCGTGTCGACCAGCTCGTCCAGCTTCCTCTTAGCTGAATTTATGGTCAAATTATTGAATCCTCCACCATTGATGACCATGGCGGAGGGGAAGTGTTTCCACCTGCTGTGCGTAGACAGAGATTCTTGCAAATGTTCGGGGACGTGGAAGTCCTCGGGTCTTGTGACGGAGAACGCGGTTTGGATAGGAACCGACTCGTCAGATGTTCGGGCATCCTCTTCTGCTTCCCTCGTCTCACGGGCATCCCGACGAGGAGCTTCGTTTCACCGGTATTGTGCAAGTCTTCCCCCTTTTATGAGGGTCTCGATGGTGTCCTTGAGGTGGACGCAGTCTTCGGTCAGGTGTCTGTGGCTCCGGTGGTACTAGCAGTATTTGCTTCGGTCCACCCCGAGTTTGGCAGGAGCTAGACAGGGACGTTTGACGCCGCCGTCCTTGAAATCTGTACTTGCGCACTCCGCTAAGATGTGCTCGCAGGAAGCCGTAAGCGGAGTGTATTCTGTGAACCTCCCCGAGGGCCCCCTTTGTTCCTGGGCGTCTCGGGATTTATCGTCCCTTCTCTTTTCTCCAGTTCGTCGAGGAGGGGCGATGTCTTGCCGCAGATTGCTGTTGGATCCGCGGTTTCTGGGGTCTCCGGCTCTGTTGGCCGCTTCTCTCTCCTCGTAGTCCATGTGGGCCCTGACCTTTTCGAGGAGGGCATCAAACGTCAGGGATGGTTCGATGCCCACGGCTTTTCTGAATTCGGTGTCGGGGAGGAGCCCCCTCTCCAATAGGTATCTCTTCATATGGTCCGTGCAGGGGACCTAGATGGCTTCCCGGTTGAAGCAGTTAATGAATTCTCTCAAGGTCTCATCGTGCTTCTGGACGATGGCCTTGAGCGCTGCTTCGGTCTTCGGGTGTCAACGCAAAGCAGTGAACAAGCTGATGAACTGGTTCTTCAGGTTTCGCCAAGAGGTAATTGACCCCGGGGAAAGACCTTTGTACCAGTCCATAGTCGTTTTCCTCAGAGTCGTGGGGAACAACCGGGATTTGATTGGTCCCCCGATGTTGTGGTAGTGCAGCATGTCTTCGAACCCGTCTATGTGGTCGACTGGGTCAGTGATGCCATCGTAGTCCTTTAAGTGGGGAGGCTTCTCCATGCCCGGGGGAATGGGTGCCTCCATGATAGCTTATGACAAGGGACCACGGGGGTCATCCTCGTCACTCTGTTCTGGGGAGCGAGACAGGGATCCGATGTAGTGGCGGTCAAGGTGGCCCTGGTCGCGCAGAGCATTCCTCGAGCGGTGTGACCGTTGATGGTTTCCCCCGTGTCTGTCTCCGGGAGGTCTTCGTTCTTGCCGCGAGGGGCCATAGTCGCGCCTTCCCGCGTCGACGAGTGGTTCCCTCTCCAAAGGGGGTTGTCGCCCAAGTGGTCGGGGTGACGGGCTTCGAGAGATGTCCCGATTTTGTCTCCGCGTGGGAGATTGGGGACGTTCGTCCGCTTATTGAGGGGGAGGAGATTGAGGTCTTCTGTTCCTTCTAGGGGGCCTTCGATCGTCCTCGAGTGCTTTCATTCTTTCCCCCTGGGAGAAGATGAGATAATTGGTTTGGTTGATCGCCGCGAACAGTGCCCTGGTCGTGGCGTCTGCCCCGGCGGGGACGGGGACCTCGTGGAATTGGACGACTGGGTAGTTCAGTGGAATTGGTCGATCTTCTTCAAGTCGAGGAGGGATTGATGAAGAAGAAGCCGTGGCTCTGTCCCAGTAGTTAGAAGGTCTAGGGATGTTGGCGCCAGGGACCGTGTTATGGCCGGCGGTACCGGCGTTGTCGAGACCGGCATTATTATCGGCGATATTGTTATTAAATTTCGACGACACAGACATTCTGGTTGTCTTGAGTTTGGTCAGCCATGATAGTCGAGGATTGTTAGCTTTGGTCTTTTGAATGGAGAGAAGACGGGGAAGCTTAGATTCCCACAGACGGCGCCACTGATCTGACCTGATCAGAGTTGGACCGTCACAGCTGGCTTCAGGCTGGATTTGAAGGAGAGGGGGAGGTACCTACAAGATACTCCGATGGCAAAATGAGAGACGGAATGAGCAAGCAAGTGTGAATGTAGGTGTGAATGAATGAATACCCGACCCTCTCATGAGAAAGAGTATTTATAGCCCCCAGCGCTGGGCCAATGTCTCTTTATTGGACTGATCAAACAGACCCAACAAAGAGACTGCCAAGTTCTACGTGAGTAGTGAGGACCCGCACGTGGCCCTCTACCTGGATGACGCCCTCCGCAAGACAGGGAGGATAAAGACGCGGTCTTTTCGAGACCATGAAGACTCCGCGCAATCCGGAGAGGTTGAAAGTCAGCCCTACGATGAGGGTGCTCGGAGGGAGCGCGTGCTCGTCGGGGACATTCTTTGCGAGCACCGGCGAAATGCAATCATGGCCGATCAAATACTTATGATCGGGGTGTGCTCGGTGAGTACACTACTCAATGCAGTAGGTTGGCAAACTTGGATTAGACTTCACTGATGGTTGAGTCAAGGGCAGGTCTAGTCCAGAACACTAATATTAATGGTGTAAGTATATGTATGAATATGCATATGAGGGGTGTGAGAAAGAGAGGGCGAAGATATTATTTGTATTTGGTATTGGCCACATGCGTATCATGATTGTAGCTAGCCGTCACAGCCGTACGTGTGAAACATGTTTTTCCTTTGGATGGGTGATTTTAGTGACTATAAAAACCAAATACATATGGTGATGACATGCATGCATCATATGGTTCGGTTGTTGTGTGATGATATATTATACAAAACAAAACAAAAGAAGCCAATATGAGAAAATGACAAAAAACAAGAATACGGATCGACAAAGCAGCGTGGTGCAAAACGGCCACAGGCAGGTCAGGAGGTAGTATCAGAATCAGAGCAGACATATATAACAAACCGTTTTCACAGCTGTTCAGTACAGTACAGTACTACCCTCTCTCCCTCAACAAAATCATGTAAACACGGTTAACATTTTGTCTTTTTATGAAACCACCGAGGTTAACATTTTGAAATGAAATGATGAATACACGAATACTCACTCACTCTCACTCTCACTCCTACTATATAATCTCCTCCTCTTCACATCTTCTTGCTTTTCATTCTCAAACACCAATGGACCCAATGTTTCCCGGCGACACCTCCTCCCCCGCCATAGACCCAATGTTCTCCGCCTTCACCCTTCAATCTCTTCTCACTTTCAACCCTTCCTTCTTCACCGACACTTTTCACACCATAACAGACGAACCTCAACTCCCTAACCTCCCTCAATCTGCCGCCGACCAAACTCCATACCTTAACAACAAAAACAAAAATGCCCTTGTAGTCCGAAAAACCGAACACCCTCTTAATCTCCCTCCATTACAAGAATATCTCCCACTTCAACAACAAGCCTTCAACTTCTTCCCCCAGTACTACCCACCCTTCGAAGCTTTTCATCACCTCCCTCAACTCCATTCCCTTGAACACTCTAACACAAAACGCCTCCGCCACCTTTTCACAGAGGAAACAACTCCACCACAACAGAAACAACCTCACTTTGTTCGTGGAAAATCTCCTTCTTTGATTCCTCAGAGCAAATTAGCAAGACAGAGAAGACAAACGCTAAGCGAGAAAACACGCTGTTTGCAGAAACTAATGCCATGGGATAAGAAAATGGATCAAGCTACCCTTTTCGAAGAAGCTTACAAATATGTTAAGTTCTTGCAAGCACAGGTCTCTGCCCTTCAATCAATGCCTTTTCATTCAACCACCACCACCTACAGTGGCGGCGGCGGTGATGATAGTGTTTGTGGTGACTTGAAGGGTCTAAACAGAAAGCAGGCTTTGCAGGTTGTGGTGAACTCACCGGTAGCACAAACAAAGCTTTATTCACAAGGGTACTGTGTTTTCTCAATGGAACAAATCTCTTTGCTCAGAAAATTATCAGAGAGAAGACAACAACAGCAGCAGAATATGTCTGATAATGCTTCTTCTTCCAACACTTTCTTTCAGTAAAGACCAACAAAACGTCATCGTTTCGAACATCTTTTCAACGTCTTTTTATGCTTAGTCTGCTTACTCTATCTTTCTATCAAGCTTTCTAGTGATTTTGTTTTTTTAGGTATTGTGCTATTTCTAGTTATGATGGCTAAACTAAATATGTTAATGCTTATTTTAGTTAAGTATTAAAGGATTTGAGCGTTTTTAATGTTTTATGTGCTTTGCTGTTACTGAATTTATTGCTGCTCTGCTACTGCTATCTTTACTGTAGTTTTCTGGATGGGTAATTTTTAAGTTATTTGTGACTGCTTTTTAGTTTAATTATTTTTATTAATTAATGAGTGAGTGTTGATTCTCATAACCATATTGGTATAAGCTTATCAGGTAAGGCAGATAGTACTACAACTACTACTGAGGTTGTATTGTATGAGTTCCTTTTGTTTTAATTTCCAAATACTTGGGAGGATTATCAATTTAAATTAAGATGTGTTATATTTGGTCTTTTACGAATGATTTAAGGAATATAGAGTATTATTTGATTTTAAATTTAAATGGACTAAATAAAATTAGATTTAATATGTTTGATATTTGAATCAAAATCAATTATTTGACTGAAATTTGAACTTTACATGTTTTTTTTAATCAAAATGCTATTCCTTATTCTCATTCAATGGATAGACATCTATTTATACAAATATACATTCAGTTGTGCTCATTACTTGAAGAACAAGGAATGTTGTAACTAACTCGCAATTAACTAACTAATAGTTAACCAATTAATAAAGCTTAACATCTAATAACAAAGCTTAACAAGACTATACAACAATTCCTCCCTTACTTTGACTTCAATCATAAGAAATTAAGCAACATTAGACAAGGTCTCCCTTCCTAAACCCTCCTTTTTTTTTTATAATTAATGACATATATAATAGAGTACAAAATGTACTCATAACCGTACAAGAGGTAAAGTTTAAGTCTTCCTATCAACTGTAGTGGTAAAATCAATAAAGTCGCCACCGAGTATTTATTTATCCCATAAAAGGAAAAGGAAAATCATCGAAGAAAAACCTAAAGGGGAAATCAAGGTCTTGCGACCGAGAGATTGGGTAAGGGAGTCGATTACGCGAGGGGAAGGTATTAGCACCTCACACGTCCATAGTACTCTACGGGATCCACTCTCGTTATTCTAATCAAAGGGTGTGTTCAATCTAATGCTTAAATGTTATAAACTAAGAGAGAATGCATGCAAAGAAAAGAGAAAGAATGTAGGGAAAATAAAATTGTACTTGCTTGGGCCCTACCCCAATGACTACGTATCCTTTTTGAGAAATCAGAGCTACCGCAGTTCGGCTCATATATTTTGTTTGTTTATATTTTTTAAATGAACAATGTTGCATTCGATCATTCCACCGCTGCTCGACCTTTGGAGACTTATGACCTGTAGTGGAAAGGAGCTAACATGCTCTTAGAAGAGAAAAGCCGAATGGCGAAAAGAAATGGATTGGTTGATATTTCTTATCATGAAAAGAATTTTTTTTATATACTTAGCATTTTTTATATGTTTGCCAAGAAAAAAAAAGAAGTTTTAGTTTTAAGTGCAATTATGCAAAAAATGGGAAGAAAAACATTCAAGGGAGACTAACCTATCTCTAGCCTAATGTTATCACACAATGAGAGATCCTATCTAAGTTAGCATGCCAAAGAAAGTCTAACAAAACTATCCTATAGGGAACATGCACTGAGAGCGAAGTCGTGATCTCAATTTCTAAACTGAGTGACTCATCGATCAACAAGAAATAAAGGAAAGCGATAAAATCCTATAGGGAGCATGCACTGAGAGCGAAGTCGTGATCTCAATTTCTAAATTGAGTGACTCATCGATCAACAAGAAAGGAAGCAAACACAAGCACAACACATAACATAAATGAAGTGCGGAATGCCTGCTACAGGTCTTTAAACAGCAACTTCGAGCGTACGCTCTTCATTTCCTACTTCTCATGGTATCTAGAAAAGCAGTAAGTAAGCATAATAAAGTGCGAAGAAATACGAAGGTAGTAGTGGCGACTACCAAAGCGAGCAAATCGTCAAGAGCAGACGAAAGCACTGAAGAAGCAGGGAGTACGCGTCGAGCAAGCTTCACCAAGAAAAAAACAGAGTTAGAAACAATATCCAACTAAGGTAAAGGTAAACGCATGTTGCGAATACGACGCATTATCAGAAGTTCCTGTGCAAAGTATCACATGTATCAGGATAACATATAATATGATATGAATTTCTCAGGACGATGAGAAATATAGCGCGTCATATTAGAAGCGAGCATAAGCTGTATTCTTCGATCACCTAACTACTTGTTATGTTACATAATCGAAAGCAAAAAGAATGTACCTTGCACAATGAACAAACACGTCAAAATAACGAGACACGACGGTATGGAAATATGGATAAAACTAAAAGAAATAGTATTTTATTGTTAGTTTTTACGTAAGAAAAATTCTAAAAAAATAATTTTTAAAATCAATTAAAAGGGTCTAAGTTTTATTGATTTTGTAGTTTTCTTGTCACAAAGAAAATAAAATAAAATCCTAAATCTAAGAAAGATAGGATCAGGGGTGTATGTTGGAATCTGGATGGTAAGCTCAATAGTTCAGAATTATGGTGTTAGGCCCAATTAGAACGAAGTCCAAGAGCTGTTTTTGTTTTGTTTAATTGAATTCCAAACAGATTGAAGACGGGCCTAAGGTGATGCAATTCGGCCCAGAGGTATGAGTTCAGCAAGCATTTTTTTTTCATAAACCTTGTGGTGTACAAAAATTCCAAGGGCCAATGTAAGGGATTTTTGGTTTGGTCCACCCATGACACCATCCAGAGTTTTTGTCTTAACTCTCCAGTATTACTCAAATTATTATGCTAAAAACTGAATAATTCTTTTTTGAGAGAAAGCAGATAAACGGTGCACTTGGCAAAAAGCGCTAGGGTTAAGTTGAGTGACCATTGAGTTTCCTTCGTAAAACAATAACTCTCATCCTTCTCTTCTCACAGCGTTGCCGCTCAACCCTCCGATTGATCATCAACATTCGTCTTCGTCTTCGCCCTCAAATCGACGCCACAACCTCTGCCTTAGTAGAGATTCTCCGACCTCGTTTAGACCTGCTCCGATTCTCCACCATCTGCATTCGTCTCAAGCGCCTCCGATCCAACTCAAACTTCTACTTACTCTATCGCCTTCGTATGACTCAGCCTCCTTCGAACTCATTCATCAACGCACCACCGTGAGACTCCGTGGATTCAACGTCTTGTAATCGTCGTCTTGAAAGCCTAAAAAGCTACCTCTCTATTCACTTCTCCGCTTTGGCTTAACGCTTTCTTCGCATGACTTGGTTCATTTTGATCTCAACCTCCTCCAAATTGTTTTCGAAGCTTACATACCATAACAAGAATTATATGCAAAAGAAGAGAGAAGAAAGAGTTCGAGGCTTACTTGATCGGAGTTCATCTGATGCGATCTTGACAATGTCGAAGAAGCAAAGAAACCAGAGGTATGCATAATCCTGCATTTACGTTTGATTCAATACTCTTCTTTTGTCTCTTTCCGGTTGCGTTTACGCAGTGCTATTATGTTGACGTTGTTCTTCTGCATGCTTCAGGAGGAGAGGGAGGAGATGAAATTCTGGTAATTAAGTTGTAGAGAGGTTCCATTGATGGAGATTACATAAGCTTCAAGAAGATTGAAGATAATTGAAGAGTGAAATTACAATGATGAAGATGATTTAAGATGCATGAAGATCTCAGGGAGAGTTAAAGAGTGGTTGCAGAGAAGATTGAAAGGAATGGTGGTTAAGGTTGAAGATGGAAGAGAGAGTAGAAAGAGATTTGAGGTTGGTGATTCTCCCTAAGGGTTAAGAATTGATGAAGATGAAGACGAGAGCCGAAGAGAGAAGTTGATGGTGATTCTTCAGAGAGTTTTTGGTGAGTTTTCTATATCGATTTTCCTCCGACCTTTCTGTGAATGAAATCTATTATGTATATCCCTTCCTCTCTCACTCCCTTTCTGTTATAGACCTTCCGTTATTTTTCTGTTTGGATCTATTCTGTTATTTTTTCTCCGCCCTCCATCCATTACCTTCTTTTTATCAATTGTTAGCCACATTAATTCTGTTACAAAACCGTTTCTCCGCCTTCTCTTTCTCTCTTGCAAATTCTGTTAGAAGTTGTTGGTGGCAGTTAGGAGTTTGTTATGGAGTTTGTGCTATGTTGGAAAAGAAAGTTTAGGGGTTCTGTAGTTTATAGGAACTGCTTTTGTTTGGTGCAGAGGCTATTTTTTGTTTACTGATGCAATTTATGTGAGTTAATACGCAAGTCATTGGCAAATTGGAATGTCATTGAAGCAAATAGAAATTTGGCCTTGAAGAATTGGTTTGATAATACAATGGTTTGTGACCTATTTTGGGCTTCTTCTTAAAACTTGGACAAGTCTGCTATAATACGCGTATGCTTTGATGCCTCTGTATTTTTATTCACGCTTTTTTCTAAACTGCAACTTGGATTCAGGCTTTAATGAGCAGGCAATTACACATGTGTTTCAATGTATTGCCTGCCTTCCCAATTCAACAGTTTCCACCTGTTTCTTCTAATGTTTCTTCTAATTTTGTTGCAAGCTTGCAAACCATTGATGTCGGTACCATAGCATATTTCGGGCCTGGCTTTGAAGTTGTAGTAGGAGTTGATGTCAAGCAAAAGATAGTATGCAACTTTTGTGCAAGATCTGCAAGGTATATATCAGTTGTAATCGGTTTTGGTTCAACTTTGGAAGATTATTTTAACCAGTTTTATGAACTAGCTTTAATTTCATAATTTTTCTGTTGTTAATATGCAGGGCATGGTTGATTTCAAGTTTTGTAGCAAGTTTTTGTTTAGCAAAAAGTCTAGTTTTGGATGCAGGGCAACTTTTGATAATTGGGGTGGAGTAATTTGACTTGAACCAGTTTGCAACAGGGCAGTTGACATGTTCAGGAACCAAGGGACATTTAGAATATATTTTGGAGTGTGTATATGTATTTGGTGGGCTGATTTGTATGATATGGATTCTGTAGACAATATGTATGTGTAACAGGCAGATGGATGTAATTTATGAGTTTTCTTTGGTATGTAATTGAATCTTGTAGTAAGAGTGGATGAACATGTAATGTGATGACCTTTTGATGGAATTCTAAACTTGTAATGGTGAGGTAAATAGTAAATGCTCACTCATTATTTGGAAAGAACATGAACGAAATTGGTGGACTTTTGTGGAAGCTCAAAATTTTCTTGAATCATGGACGTTGTTGATAGAACTTGAATGAAGGAATTAATTAATTTCATGGCTAATGCCTTTGTAACTTGTATTATAAGCTATCCATGTGAATTTTCCTCCAACCTTGTGCACACTCAAGCAATTTCGATACATTTGCCTAATTTGAACATGAATTTGAATTCATGACATTGGGGAATTCATGACATTAGGTAGTCCCTCGAGTAAATACTTCCCAACAGTGAATCCCAAATCGATCTTCACTTCTTAAAGAAACCCTAATCTCGTACCAAGAATTATGAGAGCGCCAGTTAAATCAACATGAAGAATGTAACAACCTTAGTCCACAGAGAACAACAATACTGCCAAAGCTCTTCGATCTTATAACCATGGTACCAATGCTATGTGTGAGATGTACAGAGCATGATGAGGGATCTTAGGGGCAAAAATTGGGGTATAATAGTTGCCCTTATTTAAGTGTCTTCTATTTGCAGATAAGAAGATTAAAATCTTCGTTTCGACGCGATTGAAGATACTTAAATATAAAACAAGCCTTATTTTTGGCCCTAAGATGCCATGTGATGCTTATGATTATGGATGTAACGTATAAACTTCATGCAGATGGGCAAGACACACACTGGAGAAGCGAAAGTAGAATCTACAAATTAACCAAAAGAATTCAACCAGGATAATAAATCCCTGGAGAACAACACGACTCCGGGGATAGAAATTTGAATCTATTGGGGACGAATTGGCTCTGCTGGGGAAAAGAAAACTCAACTTCACTGGGGTAAGATCCAGAGAGGAGAAAAAATAACATAGCCTCAAAAACTGAGGGAAAAGTAATCGATGACAACAATTAACCGATAGATGCGAACTATCCACTCATAGAGGAGATAGCAAAAAGAGAGTAACATCAACACAGGGGATCGACAATCGTTACCCAGAAAAGACCAATCTTACCTAAGAATGGTAATGAACTACTCACTCAAGAATGAAGGTAAAAAAAACACAAACATAGGACAATACTGACTTTTATTGAAGGTAAAGAAACAGAAGATACACCGACGTTTACTGAAGGTGAAGAAAAGAGAATGCACCAGCTTTTACTGAAGGTGACGTCTTAAAGAGTAATAACGAACTTCCCAAAATCCTGGCGTTCTTCCTAGAACAAGCAAAAATACAAGCTATCTCAAATAAAGAGACTACCACTTGTAAAGATTTCACAACAAACTTCTCTTGCGAAACTTCCTCAAAGAGATACCATTTGATAGAAAATAATATAAACTTCCCCTCGATCCTGACTATAAGCCACGAATTGGTCTCAGTTTCTTCTTTAACCAAGATATTTCACCTGGAAAGGGTAAAAACACAAGCTATCTTAAATAAAGAGACTACCACTTGTAAAGATTTCTCAACAAACTTCTCTTGCGAAACTTCCTTGAAGCGATACCATTTGATGGAGAATCAGATAAACTTCCCCTCGATCCTGACTATAAGCCCCGAAATGGTCTCAGTTTCTTCTTTAACCAAGATATTTCACCTAGAAAGGGTAAAAATACAAGCTATCTCAAATAAAGAGACTACCACTTGTAAAGATTTCTCAACAAACTTCTCTTGCGAAACTTCCTCGAAGAGATACCATTTGATGGAGAATCAGATAAACTTCCCCTCGATCCTGACTGTAAGCCACGAACTGGTCTCAGTTTCTTATTTAACCAAGATATTTCACCTGGAAAGGGTAAAAATACAGCTGTAGGAATCTTTCAACGAACTGTCTTTATCATTGAAGTACAGCCAAACTCAACAACGAACTATATCTCATAATGACGAGACTACCATTCATTGGATTGACAAATTTCAGCAACGAACTACCTTCCATAATGACAAGGCTACCATTCATTGGAAAAAACATCTTCATCAACGAACTATCTCCCATAATGACGAGACTACCATTCATTGGAATATAAAATTTTCATCAACGAACTACCTTCCATAATGACAAGGCTACCATTCATTGGAAAAACATCTTCTTACGTTAACAGACTTGCTGGAAAGGAACGGGTTGCTCAAATAAAGAGAACTGCCGCTTGCTGTTTTAAGAAGGAATTGTAATAAGACTGGCGAGAAATGAAGCTTGATTTCCTGGGGAAATACCAATACATTCCTGTTGAGGAGAAAAAGTCTTTGTGTGCAAAATAAATGCACATTCTCAAATCAAGGCTCGAAGCCTGCAAAAATTAGAATAATAATGTTGTCGGGGACTACAGACTCAAACCAGAAATAAACTGGAATGAAATAATCAACTAAGTCAGCACCCGATGAGAAATAAACTCAAAAGGAGATCACACTCCATCCAGAGAATGAACTGAATAGGAAGGCTAAATCAAAAATCTTCCATGAGAGATAACTCGTTGGGGAATTTGAAAGGATATACACTTCCTGTTCAACATTGACAACTCTATTGGAGAGAGAATAACATAACTTTGCAAAGAGGATAATATGCTGACAAAACATTAATGAATGCAAAATGAGTAATGAGATTTAAATTCATCTATGCATGATGTGTACGAATGTATGGATGTTATCATGTATATGCTGACAAAACAACCATAATATACTGGGGATAACCAGACAAATATAATCTTGGGTAGGGACAACATTCTGCCAAGTCACATGCAGGACGAAGATCAGATTCCACGAGAGGGTAAGAATCAACAGAGGAAACAGAGTCCTATTTCACGGCTTAACTTCGTTGGGAAGGACATGGGTTGAAAACAAACAAAGGACCACCTGACTGGAAACAAATAAAGTTGCGGGAATATCATAAACTCTTCTATGTCTCATCGGGGAATACCAATACGGATTTCGATAAGGGAAGAGGAAGTTTTATCTGCTAGACTTCATTGGAGATTCCAAAACCAACTCTACTAGGGGAAGATGAAATCCATGTCGTCGAGACCTCAACTGGGGATGGCAATACAGACTTTACCGGGGAATATGCAAAACTACATCGTTGATACTTCAACTGAGGGTTGTTATGCTAACTTCATTGGGGAAAAAGAAGCCACACACACCAAAGAGAGCCTGGATACAATCTTCAATATTAGACATAATAGTTGTGCAAAATTATCTGGAGAGAGATCATGGAATTTCACGGGATAACAACTTCAGAGGGAAGTATCATATTCGACACATCTGGAGAATTAAGAAATTGACAGCACAGTAATGGGTCAGCTCGTGGGGATTTTAAATCAAACTCAGTGCACAGTGAGAGAAAACCCAAGGAGTAGACGCTTATCTCAAAACTTCTTAGAATGTATATTGCCCTTGTCTGGTTGTTTAGAAGCACACTACAACAATAATATCATGATTC